GGTATTTACATAGGATCTGGAGGGTTAACGGTCCTGAAGTCGAGAGCCTTCATCATCCAATTGAGCAGTTCTTTCCCGTCCAACAGAACACGACCACTAATACCCTGAAAGTGAACATACGTTGCAAGCATTATTGCCAAAATCCGTGTGAGTGAAAATGGAGGATTTAATTGGTCATAACAATTAAAGCCGGACCCCGATGAAATAAACACGCACAGATTTGGGTCAGAACGTCCACCTAAGTGCTTTACAAAGTGGATCGACGATAAATTTGCTTTAAAATTAATGTAAAAATTCTAAATTAACCATATCTTCTGTTTCTTCGTTATGGTAATTCAGTACGCTCGGGGAACAAAATCAGAACGCCAATATTTGACCATAGCGATAGAGACGTATTTGTCTGAAAGGGAACCCAACCTTGACGTCACCAAACATTTGGGACCCAAAGTTGATGTGGCCTCTACACTCAGTAACCACAGTGAGGAAGGAGTGCTCCTTGTCCAGCGTGATGTTCAAGCCAGCACTTCCGGAAACCGATCCGTGGAAGACCTATTTTGAAATTGCGACTCGATAACACAAATTACAACAACTCACAATTGACCTCCCTTGAGGGTCAGTTGTATATACCAGTCCGATATCTTTGACACTCTCGAAGGTCAAATATGCCTTGCCCTCATCGTGTTCCAGATGGACAGTGTAGGCCATCAAGCCCTGGTACTGAAATGTGTAATAAGTAGGTTGTAAAAAATGAAATCGATGGCACACAAAGTACCTGTCCCACCGCTTCCATGTAAAGGGGTTTGACAGAGGAAATGCCTTCTTGCAGATCGTAGAGTAAGTGTGAGAACTAAAAGAAAAACATTCACCCCCTGTAAGCACTGTTAATGAATGTGAACATCAGTAACGTTTCATCAGATTAGAGAGCACTGAAAATCTCATGATTGCAGCGTGGAAAGATAGCATTCAAATATTTTTAAGGGAGATTCAGTAAGGTCAAGACATGGCAAAAAAGTTAGTGCTGACGGTATTTAACTATATTTAGTAAGAGCAAAAAGAAAAGCGGAAGCAGTTGGAAAATGTACAAAAAAGAATAAGTCACCCACAAATTTCAATCCAACCCTGCCGTAAGTAGCTTTAGAGATATTGAGTGGAGGAGGAGGTGGAACCTGTTGTTTCATCTTCAAGGAAATAGAAAGGTGGAAAGAACGAATTCAGATACGAGGTGAAGGTGCTTGATGTGGAGAAACACCAACCTTATAAAATAAGTCTTGAAGAATAAGGTATTTGGTAGTAATGTCTCCAGCTTCAGAGATTGGAGCGTCATAATCATAGGATGTGGTTATGAATTTGTTTGGTGAGTTGGCCCCATTCCAAAAACCGAAATTGGTACCTCCGTGGAACATATAGCTGGGAAAAAAGAGGCTGTCATCAGAAAAGCACTACTTTCCAAAACAACGACGATGAATTTAGGAAGATTTAATGTTTTCGCAGTCACTAACATCAATATCAGAGAATGAGAAAGACAAGGCAGCATTAAGCAGCCCTGCCCCATGCTGCGTCATATTTTTGGGCATGAAGACTTGAACTGCGCTGTCATGCTTTTCAAGTTTTCTTTTTTTTTTCATATTAAGGTAGAAAATGCAAATGCAAGAAAAGGGACCTCATAGTTCCAAGATGGGTAGTAAGCCTTAACACACGTTGGAGCATAAAAAGTCTCTTCCATCACAAGTCAATCAATCCGCAGTACTGTGAGATCAACTGGGGTGCCGAAAAGGACCCTCCTAATTCGGCTACAGGTACGCGCTGTTGCAAATCAAGTCGAACTAGTTACTCAAGGATTCATTTATCAATGCAGCAACTAACGTATCGACAAGGGGTTAGATTATCAAAACAATTAGTGAAGAAGAGAAAAAGATGGAACGAATGAGACTCGGAAATTTTGGTTAGGCGTAGCAGAATATGAGACAACAGTTGTAGCCCAAATTAAATCAGTTATTGAAGGTCCTCTCGAGCCCAAATAAGACAAAATAGTCCTCACGCAGTAGCAAAGGCAAGAGATTTATGAAGATACTTAGAACCGATGTAGTTAATAAACGTACATGTTGAAGCTGACACTTTGCGACAGATTCCAAAGGCTAAGCGCCCCCTCCGCCAAGGCATTAGCGTCGACTACATGATGCTTCTCACCCCAATGATCCAACCATCCAGAATAGAATTCGCTATTTACCTTCGAAAAAAACCAAATCACTTGTCCAGATTCTGTTTATATGTAAAACAAAGAAATCTATTAATTTCAGTACTTCAGTTCTTAGTATGTCACAGCCTTTAAGAGAAAATGACTAACATGGCAACCAGTGAGTACTAGCTGAGGTCCTAAGAACCCACCTTCGACAAAACTTTGAAAAGACGCTGAAGGTTGCTGTCATTACCTCCACTTAGAAGCACTATACGCATAAAATGAAGAGCAACAGAAAACACAGGCATTTAAAACGATCCCCATACCAAGGGCCCATGGGATTGGAATTGTTCAAGCACTTTAAAGGCTTCACTCGGGTGACTGGCTAAAAACAAGGTTGATACTTTTTAAAAGAAAAAGATTACTCATATAAAGTATAAGAAACAAATATACCTTCATCAACACCGAAATCGACAGTTGCAAGTAATCTGCGATCGGATGAGCCACATTTCAACTGAAGCATGCTGTTCCCATCCGTTGTGTATAGTATTATCTCATTGCCGAGAATGAATCTGGCATACTCGTAAAGCGCAGACAAGTACTCTTGATCGCAAGTGACGTAGGACCCATACTCATTTTCCAACTACGACAGTAACAACAATCTCTCAGTCACAACTATTCGAATTGTAAGCAAAAGAAGCGCAAGTAGTAGTACTTGGATCATTATTATTGGTCCACCATTTTGATAAATTAGTGGCTTCAATTTAGGAAGTAACTGACCGAACCACCGAATAACCGGCTTCATGAATTCTTCAACAAATAGAGAATGCTATGGTTAATCCCTTTGTTCACGGACAGTAGACGCAAAGTCAGAATCTTTACCTGTACTAGAAGATCGTAAATTCAGATTAGGATTTGAAGACAAGAGCCAAGGTGGAAGCCCACCCTAAAGAAAATTGAGCAAATGAAAGGCTCACGCAAAACATAATGTAATACTTAAAAATCACTCACGAAATCCCATTCAGCACAAATGTAAGGACCAGCTCTAACAAGAACAAGCAAACCCATCTTTTGAGCAAGTTCTATAAATTCAACGACATCCCTCTCATCCTCGAAATGGTACTCCCCTGGATTTGGTTCATGAAAGTTCCAGGGTACGTAACTACGGTAATTAAACGAGAAAATCATGCAAAAAATTAAGAGCAGGTAGAAACATAAAGGCACAACAGCACATACATTTGAATCGCGTCCAAACCGGCATTCTTGGCTTTCACAAGCCTGTCCTCCCAGTAGATTCGTGGTATCCGAAAGTAATGTAGGCTACCAGATATGTAGCGGAAAGGTTCACCATCTTTCAAAAACACACCATTTTCTGGGTCGACAGAGAAAGTGTGGTATGACTAATGCAAACGAGCAATAAAACAATGATCACGTACAGAAATAGAGGAATTCCGGAGCCATATTACGAACGATATAGCAGAGACGACAGAGACGATTAGTAGAAGTCGAACGATGTTATTGCACACCAATCTGATAATTTCATGATATTCAAACTGGGATCCTTCAGTCTCATCTATTCATTCCGAGTCACTTTTAAAGGAAACTAAGCGGTACCCTCAAGCTCGATACTCTTTATGAACTTAATCTTGCTTTCTACGGAAAGTCGACAGGCACAATTTGCGACCATTGCCTGCAAATCTGAGCCACCCAAAGTCAGAGAAGGTCACAGTGAGTGAGCCAGTAATTTTAATATTTATTAAAGTTAAACTTTCATGTTTATCCCTACCAGCAGATCGAGCTAATTATTTTGGCTCAAATAGACGCCAGGTAGATGCAAAATTTTAAAGCATCACACTTATGATAACACCATACATATTCAAATCACTGGCGTTGGCAATTCTTACGCTTATAAAGTCCCATGAGCATGTTATTTTCACCACATTTATGCATTTTTTTGGAAAGTCATGTCCTTAAACTTCGGTCTTTAAGAGAGGGTTACTTGCAATAGATTTGTTAGGTATTGAATACAGGAAGAACGGGGATAGGAGTACAGATGAGCCGAATAGCAGATATCACCCAGAGAGGGATCTCTCACGTACCTGCCGCATCAGATTCGCATTCGAATTCACTTCCCCTTTCCCCTATAAAGGTCTACTTAAACACTAGTACATATTACACAGCCCCCTTCGCTTTCAAGTACCGTCCCCGATGCTGACCCGTAGAATTGCATCAGGCGACTTCCCTTATCTCGCCATCGTATGGACCACGCCTTCGTAGCCTAATGGGGCAGCACCCGTATATGGTGCAACCTTGTTTTGATGTACTGTTAAAGGCTGAGTAGCGATTTCCGCATATTGACAGAGATAATCCGTGGGCGAAAGGACATTGATTATTAAGTAGGCTTCCTCGCTTTAGCGGTGGTAGAATTTCCAATAGTTTCCTGGCTGGGAAATTGGTCTATACAGTTGCAACAAATCGCCTCTTTGAAGACGTTTATTCGGCTCTGTCTATCGTAGGACCTTTTCTGCCTACTGTTTGCTTTCTTCAACTGTCTGAGCTCTGCGTTAAACACTTTCCCGAGGTTTTCCTTTAATCGTAAGACATGCTGAGACGCGTTATTCACTGACGATTTCTTACGATGGAGCGAAATGTGAGAAGGGACTCTCATTCCACTGCTCGTGAGCATCTTGAACGGTGAGACCCCGGTAGAGGTGCAAGCGGACTCTCGTCAGGCGAGGAGGACCTGCCTTAATTATAGATCCCAATACTCGAGCTGCACCTCTTTAGTGAAGACCTTCAATAAGTCGACACGAGTATGATTTGTCCTCTCTACTTGCCCATTGCTCTGAGGATGATCCGACTTTGTACGTGTCTTACGGATACCAAAGGTTTTGCACAGCTCTTTGAAGAGACAACTCATAAGGTTCGCCCCTTGGTCGTTATGTACGGAATTAGGCACACCATGTTGGTTGCTACTGGTTTGGCTTTCGCGGCCTTGATGAAATAGTCTACCATCACCAAAATATAATGTATCCCTCTCGGAGTCGTGGGAAGTAGACCTATGATGTCTATGACTACTTGCTCTATCGGAACGACCGTGAACATCGGATGTAGAGGGGCTGCCGCCGTGCGAGCTGAGTTCTTCAAGCTGGTACACGTGACGCATGAGCGACAAAAATCGAAGGCATCCGATATTAGCGAGGGCCACCATTACTTATTCCTCACGGCGTCAAGTATCTTCCCGACCCCACATGGCCAAGTTGCTCATCCAATTCCAACGGGGACGGTCGTATCAAGGAACCTGGTACTACGAGGAGTTTAGGACCTGCCGTATTGTTTTCACACCGTGTGACGTTGTCCTCTGCAGAGTTTATTCCAGTTCTGCTATATTTGCTTGGCTCTCTTGATCGCCGAGCTCATCTCAACTGTTGGCTCGGCCGAAGATGTCCTTAGTCTTTCATAAAGTAAAGCTGTATCAGGATCGGAGCTCTGCGTGTTTTTCCAGTGATGGGAAGCAGGCTGGCTCAATAACAGCGCAACTACTGTGTCGCCATCCGTGGACCGTGATAAGGGTCTCCGTGACAGCGCGTCCGCATTACCGTGAGAGCTTCCTTTCCTGTATTGCGCTATAAAATCATATTGTTGCAGCTCCTCATACCACTTTGCAACCGAACGATCGATCTCCTTC